GGTTTCATCTGACCTTGACCTCATTTTCATGGTTCATTGATTATTGTGAATTTTTTGTGTTTTGGTCTGTTTTTAAAGTACTGTAAGCAATAGGTCAACTATATTTGGTGTATGGAATGATTGTAAGGTGTACATGTCTGTCTAGCTGAAGTCATGTGACCTTGACCTGATTTTCATGGTTCATTGGTCATTGTTAAGTTTTTGTGTTTTGGTCGGTTTTTCAAATACTAATAGCAATAGGTCAATTATAATTGGTGTATGGAATGATTGCAAGGTTGATATGTCTGTCTAGCCAGTATCATCTGACCTTGACCTCATTTTCATGGTTCATTGGTTAACATGGTCGTATATTGGTATGACGTTGGTGTCATCATCGACCTCATCCGAAAACACATTGTTTTTCGCACAATAACTTTAGTTTAAGTGAATGGATCTCTATGAAATTTTACCATAAGGTTCAATACAAAAAAAAGGAAGGTTGGGATTGATTTTGGGGGTTATGGTACCAACAGTTAAGGAATAAGGGACCAAAAAGAGGCCAAAAATAAGCATTTTTGTAACTTCCAGACAATAACTTGTGTTTAAGTGTATGGATCTCTCTGAAATTATACCACAAGTTTTCATACCACAAACTGATGGTTAAGATTGGCTTTGAGTGGTTATGGCTCAAACCATTTAGGAATTAGGGGCAAAAAAGGGGAAAAAACAAGGGCTTCCTGGTAAATGGACAATTTAAAAGCAGTGTAAGGGAGGTAATCCAAAAACAAAATTGTACAATGTTGGATTACCTCCCTTACACTGCTTTTAAATTATCTATTTAAGACTTTTATGATGTATTTAAATTGGTAATTATGGTTGCAAACTCCATTGGAAATTTGAATTGAGATTATGACCATATCTTGAGGGAAAATTTTTTTTTGGAAAAGGGGGGAGGGGGGTAAAAAAGAAATTGTGGGGGCAATTTTTTTTTCATTTCATGTTTCAGAAGTTAAAAAAAAAGGGGGGGGGGGGGGGTAAAAACCTTTTTTTTTTTTTTTTTGGAAAGGGGGGGGGGGTCAATACCCAACAGCAGTGTATTTCACATGAGCCAAAAAAAATTGGGGGGGGGGGGGGTAAATTTTTTTTTTAGTATTAGTGTTTTGCACAAAAGCAAAAAAATTAATATAAATTCAAATCATATAACCAATTCTAAGTTCTTTGACTACAGTTATTCGGTGTCAGAAACCTATTATGTGTCAAATATTTAATTACAATCCAAATTTAGACCTGTATCAAGCGCGAATATTGTCCATTTTCGCCCCAACTGTTCAGGGTTGGACCTCTGCGGTCGTATCCAGCTGCGCTCAGCGAAACATTTTATTGTGTTTTGGTCTGTTTTTCAATTACCTTTAACAATGAGTGAACTATATTTGGTGTATGGAATAATTGTAAGGTGTACATGTCTGTGTGACAGTTTTTATCTGACCTTGACCCTGTTTTTATGGATCTTTATAAATTAAGTTAAGTTTATGTGATACTTGTAGTAAAACTCTTATCTTTAAGACTTTCAACATAAAATCAATGGTCAGTAAAATAGGCGAGACATTTCAGCGTGTGCACTCTTGTTTTAATCTTCAATGTTGACATTATTCATTATGCCTCTATACATGTCTAATAATTGTATACTATTATACTAGTAAATGTAGGTTTGTCATTTCTGCAACAAACTATGTAGAATGCAAAACAGGAATGCTAATCTGGCAACTGGAGCGAAAACTTGAAATTTCATATACTAAAAGAAGGTTGAGGAGCTAGATAATTTGTGTCTTGTTTACAGATGCCTTTAGGTCTGAAGTTAACATCTGGCTTTTGTCTTTTGTCTTTCATTCTGTCGTCATTTTTTCGTTGTCAACAAGTAGGTTTAGTCTGTGGTTAAAGTTTTTTTTAAATATTAAAATACCTTCTCAAAGCTTCATGGAATTTTTCAAAACTTTGAAAAAAGCTTCTTCATGATTAAAAGACAGTAGTATCCAGAGCAAAATAAGGCGATGTTGTATGATTGCCAATGAGACAACTATCAAAAAGAGTCTGTGGTTTTAAGCAGTCATATGTCACCATTCAGCCTTCTACAATGATGAAAACCCAAACCTTATAGTCAGCTATAAGAGACCCTGACAGGACAAAATGTGAAACAATGCAAACAAAAAAACAAACAGTCTAATTTATGACAAAACAATAAACAAATAACAGATAAAGCAGACAGCAACAGATGGTAATCACTAAATAACAGATAAAGCAGACAGCATCAGACGATAATCACTGAATAACAGATAAAGCAGACATCAACAGACAACAATCACTGAATAACAGATAAAGCAGACAGCATCAGACGATAATCACTGAATAACAGATAAAGCAGACAGCATCAGACGATAATCACTGAATAACAGATAAAGCAGGCAGCATCAGATGATAATCACTGAATAACAGATATGACAGACAGCATCAGGCTATAATCACTGAATAACAGATAAAGCAGACAGCATCAGACGATAATCACTGAATAACAGATAAAGCAGACAGCATCAGACGATAATCACTGAATAACAGATACTGCAGACAGCATCAGACAATAATCACTGAATAACAGATAAAGCAGACAGCATCAGACGATAATCACTGAATAACAGATAAATCAGACAGCATCAGACGATAATCACTGAATAACAGATAAAGCAGACAGCATCAGACGATAATCACTGAATAACAGATAAAGCAGACGATCATCACTGAATAACAGATAAAGCAGACAGCATCAGACGATAATCACTGAATAACAGATAAAGCAGACATCAGACAATAATCACTGAATAACAGATAAAACAGACAGCATCAGACGATAATCACTGAATAACAGATAAAACAGACAGCATCAGACTGACTTGGGACAGAAAACATCATTTGCTATTTACTTTTTGAAGTTAAAACATCCAGATACAGTTGTAATAGGTCAACTATATATGGTCTATAGAATAATTGTAAGGAAGTACATGTCTGTCTGACATGATTCCCCAGACCTGAATTTTTGGGTTCATTGATTAACCATAAATTTTTGTGATAACAACAGATTCTCATTTACTGAAAGTTTTAGGTCAACTATATTTGTTATATAGAAGTATGTTAAGTTGTATATTTTCATTTGAGCCTGACCTCATGGAAAGTTTTGTGATACATGTAATAAAACCTTGATATCAAAGACGTTCAACAAGAAATTCAGTCAAAGTGAGTCAAGACATTTCTGGTGGATCCATTTTGCAGAATTTATCTATAGGATTTGTTGCTAATTTGTTAAAATTTGCCACTTGACATTATTAAAGTAAACAACAGCCAACTAGATATCATTGAGATGGGAGCCATCTCTGTGGGCCCCGCTGTGAATAATGTGTGGTAAAAAAATTTGTATCGTTATCGTTGGACATGGGGTTATCAACTGAAACCACAGTTTTTGACCTTGACCTTTGACCTAAGAAGTTGTACATAAATTATGACACACCCTCTGGTGTTGGTTTATATACATATCAAGTATAAACTTTGAAATCATAACGGTTCTCAAGATATAGAACGGACACGATCTTTACCATAGGACATGGGGTTGTTAACTAAAACCAAAGTTTTTGACCTTGACCTTTGACCTAGGAAGTTGTACATACATTATGACACACCCTCTGATGTTGGTTAATATACATGTCAAGTATAAACTTTGAAATCATAACGATTCTCTAGATATAGAGCGGACACAATTTGTTAAGGACGGACAGACAGACAGACGGACAGACGGACGGACAGACTGATCACTATAGGGCGTCTGCCATTCGGCGGGGCCCTAATTAACTTAAAAGATAACTTAAGCATGCTTTGGTAGCCTATTACTGATCACTCCAATAAATATCCTGTCAGGTTATTGCTCGCCTGCAATATTCTGCAAGACCTAGGAATGAGAATGGTGACAGTGTTAACTCTTTGTATCAAGTTCATATTTCAGAATGCTGAAGACCTGGATACATCATATACATGTATTGCATACAGATGCCCTGTCTTTTATCCGTTGTTCTTGATTTCATTTTCATGTTTCAGCAACTGCTTAAAAAACAAGTTTTTAAATCACATAATTTTCTCAATTATGACGACTAGGATTAGTTTAGTTTATTGCATCTTTGCAAAGTCTACCTATCCGTAAGAGTTCAGACAGGGTTCACCTGACCTTGACCTCACTTCATGGATCAGTTATTAACATATATAAGTCTTCATGGTTATATCTATTTCTAAGATATAAGCAATAGTTAAACTGCATTTGGTATTTAGAATATTTATAAGATTACACATCTGTCTTGTTTACTGAACTTGACCTCATTTTCATGGTTCTTTAGTTTTCCCCGATACTAAATTAAAGCAATATGTCAACTATATTTGATGAATGGAATGATTGTAAGGTGTATGTATCCATTGGAAAGGGTTCATTTTACCCTGTTTAATATATGTATTTGGCAAAAAGGAAGAACTTTGAAGGATGTGTCACTGTATGACATATTAGATGAAGTTAGAAGCCATATAACAAGATTCTTTGACTTAAAAGTGCTAAAAAAACTGCAACAGGAATGTGTTACAGCAGATGATATACCTACTAATGCAACAAGGGAGAATTCCTTTTTCCTTTAAAATTTTAAATCTCCCCTTTTGACCTGTCACTTGCAAAGGAGGTCAAAATCTCCCTCAATGACAAAAACAATAACCTTATTTTTAATCTTTGTCTTCATGAGATGTTTTGACAGTCTTTTCCTGTAATTAATTTTCACTTTCAACCTTAATTCAAATTTTGAATGAAATCAGGAAGTCAGGCATAATCTTCCGCTAAGCGAAGCTGGAAAAATAGATATCTCCTACTTTGTTGCTGCAAAAGGTTGGCACATATGAGAAGAATGCACCAACAGACTTGTGTGGAGGTATAATATGAAGACACAATCTGCATAACAAGAACAATTTATTTCTAAAAAAAAACCACAGTTTCATAATAATAAAATACTTAATGCTGCAGTTGACATTGATTATGTAATCAAGATTATTCAGATAAACAATCTGACCTGTCTATTTGTAATTGAACTGACAGATTTATTAAAAGAAGACTAAAAGTTGTTAAAAAAGACAGCATAATTTTTTAAATGTAAATAAGTTCATATCATTTCATATTACCTGAATTAGAACAGTCATGACTTTTTAAAAAATACTGTTTTCATGTGTCTAGGGCTCCAAATTATTCTCCTTCATATTTTAGCTAACAACTTTAAAAATGGTTTCAAGACAGAATAATAAGCTGTATCATAATAATACATACACAATACCCCATACTGAAAAATTTTATATCTGCCAAAAGGAGTTATAACTTATTCATTTCCATTATTTTTGTAAAAATAAGTTCTCTAACTGGACAAAAAGTGAGATCATTTAAATCAACCCTTCCAAATTTTCTTTGAAAAAAAACTCCAAAGCAATGGAGTCCATCATTGGTTCAACCAAGTTCAAAATTCTGAGACAACAAAATCTCAACCAATGAAACACTTCAGAGTGAAATCCAAACTTATTTCATGATTAATAGAATGTAGATTACAAAAAAATAAAAGCTAACTATACCTCATATTTACTTTTATATGAAAAATTTTAACTTCCAGAACCACCTTTGATTCTGAAAGAAATACAGACAAAGAAGTAACAATATGCCTCCTCCCTTTAAATTCAAAATGAAAATACCTATGAATTGATTATGAAAATGTCTAAATATGCAATTCAAAATATGAATATTTCAGTTTGATTCATAACCATCTGAAAAACAATGTGTTGGGTGTTTTTGTCAATGTATTTTTCTGCTAAATATTAAACAGATCAATGTAAATTTTTTTTTAAATATATACTATATTCCATTCAAAAGAATACTAACGTTTCCTTTAATTGTAGCAATGTAAAAGAAAAACACTAAAATGTTGATCAAAACTTAGATGATGTAAAAAGATGCTTGATAATCAATCTCTAAAAAAAATCATTTGCAAACTTATTGTGATATATAAAATACATTTCAACATTGAATGATATGCTCTGTTATTAACTCCCTTTAACAAATGAAAATTATATTAAGATACTTAAACAATTACTAATATCTCAAGAACTTTCCTGAAAATCTGTCTTCCAAATATTTTCTGATGTTGCCATTTCCATTGACATGATCAAAGTTTAAATAAAAACCAACATTATATAAGATAAATAAATTTTGACTAGAAATAATTTTTCTGTCACCAAATAGCAATTACTGATTTAGATTGCCCTAACACATGAAAATACTCAAATTAAAACAATCCTAAGTAGTTATTTACAGTAAAAAAATCTTATTCTGGCTATTTAACCCTCAAATGGTTAAAATATTTCCAAAAACTACAGTCTGAAGATTTTTCCTCCATTTTGTAATGATTTTCAATTTGGTTAGCAATATCTAATGATAAAACAAGATATTCTTATATCATAGTTAACCAAGTTTCTCATCATCACTCTATCTTAAGCATTCTTTATCAATCTGCTTTGATGTCTTCTTGTATGACACATATGGGAAGAAAGTTCTCCTGAATTCTTTCCTCACAAGACATTCTCTGTCTCTCACTGTATGACCAGTAAGAGCTTTTAATCTTCTTTCCGGCATTAACCCATATTGGCGAACTTCTTTTTTGAGCCCTTCAACAGTCTTCCAATTCACTCCATAATCATCCAGGTTCATCATGACTACTGATCTCAGATGATATAGTGCGCTCCTCATTAGAGTCCTCCAAATCCTCCTCCAATCCCTCATATCCAGGTATATTACAACCTGTATAACCTCCATTCTCTATACAATACTGTATCAGTGACTGCCAGTACTCATCCTGAAATATATGTCATCACAAATACATTTATGAAATGTAGGTTTTCATATGGCTAAAACTTAATTTATTGAACAACAAAGCTCAACAGGACCACTTGGCGGATACTAGCTATGGTCAGCTATAGAAGAACAATATATCAGCCCAACATTCAATATTTTTTTTCTGAATTGATTTTGATTGTACAATCACCTATATGTCTTATGGTCCAAGGACACAGTTATCGTCCTTTGGTTTTCGTTGTCTACGAATATAGTCCCTAGTGTGAACAGTGTATAACTTGCATTTTTTTTTTATACACTTTCCCAATTTATTTCTTGATATTTTATGCATGAAATATTAAGTAAGGGGATGAAATTACATGTTAAAAAAATTTGGGTGCTGAATCTTTATGTTAAGTAGTGATTTGGTCCAGTTAAAAAAGGTCAAAAATTAGAATGTCTGAAGCTGTCAAACTGAATTGTAGCCCCCCTTAACACAGAATTGTCAATATTTTGAGTTAGAGCTGGTAGAAGTTTCTATAATTTTGATATTATTTGTATCAATAGTAGTACACTACACTGTAAAAATCTTTTTGAGATAGAGCAGGTGCGATTTTTTTAATTTGAATTTATTCTCTAAAAGAAATGCACTACGGAATAACTGTGTTCTCGGGCCTAAGAGATGAATTCCGTAAATGTAGATTCTGTACTTTGGCAACTTTCCTGAATGGTTTGCTGGTTTCAATTTGTCAAACTCAATAAAAGTAAAGGATTTACATCTTTGTTTGACAGAAATTCTGTTAAAATGTCCCTTTTTGGCATTATACGGCTAAATAAGCATTTTAAAGCAGTTTCCATTTTATGCCTAAGAGCCATGCTGACTTTCTATCTGACAGCATTTTATGTTCCTGATATTTGTGTTTCTATGCTAAAATCAAATTTAATTAACCATTTGTGAACTCTGAATCTAGAGAAAAGTAGATTATCACAGAAAAAATGTGCAGAATATTTGTATTTATGTCCCTGGTTAAACGGCCTGTTTGATGTATGTGAAATGTGAAGAGCTTTGTACATATAATCTGTAGTCCATCACAAATATTTCACTAAATCTGTAAAAAAAACACTTTACAATGATCAGTACACCCTATTCATTTCATATGCTACCATAATTTTCTTCTTTAGGATAGTAAGTGGTTCAAATATATGCCAATTGAGACTAAAACTACATGCAAGTTTTCCATTGAAAAGTGAAAAACTGGTCATCAGATCATACTGTCTGCAAAAAAAAAGTTGAATTCAAGAGTCCTTTTGCAATTAGACTTCTTGTATCATGACATCTTAGCATAGAAATGAGCAAAAAGTAACAAATTTCCATTTCTTATAGCCTCTGTGTGCATTTTTATATGTAAATATGGGCTACGGCCTAAATCGACTCTATATAATTCTCAGTCTTACATGGCCTAAGACCATTTTATACTCATGTGGTATGCTTTTTGTAACTTTTCTTTACATTTAAAGTACATTTAATATATATGGAAGAATAATGTATAGTTAAAAAACTTCAAAAACTTCAAATTGGTTGAAAAAAATGCATGTTTATGTAAGGCTTCCCTTAATTCGAAAATCTCTATTTTCAGGCACAGGCTCACATAAATTTGACTTTTGAATAACTGTAATAAATCTGATAAATCAAATGAGTGTTCTGTTGCTATTAATACTTATTACATTATATTCAAGAGTATTTAAAAAGCAAATTTTTGCAATATTTAAATTTTTTAGGCCAAAATCTTGACAGTTGAAAATATTTGATTTAAACGTCAAAAATAAACATCCAAATTTCAATACTAAAATGGCCCTAGTTTCTATAATATATATTCTATGGCCATGAAACTTGGCCAACTATCTTATAATTTCCTAAGCTTAGGTCATGCAAAGTTTTATTAAAATTGGTCAAGTCTTTCTATCCTATTAGGTCCAAGGACACAGTTATCGTCCTTTGGTTTTCGTTGTCTACGAATATAGTCCCTAGTGTGAACAGTGTATAACTTGCATTTTTTTTTATACACTTTCCCAATTTATTTCTTGATATTTTATGCATGAAATATTAAGTAAGGGGATGAAATTACATGTTAAAAAAATTTGGGTGCTGAATCTTTATGTTAAGTAGTGATTTGGTCCAGTTAAAAAAGGTCAAAAATTAGAATGTCTGAAGCTGTCAAACTGAATTGTAGCCCCCCTTAACACAGAATTGTCAATATTTTGAGTTAGAGCTGGTAGAAGTTTCTATAATTTTGATATTATTTGTATCAATAGTAGTACACTACACTGTAAAAATCTTTTTGAGATAGAGCAGGTGCGATTTTTTTAATTTGAATTTATTAAATTTTTTAAGAAATGCACTACGGAATAACTGTGTTCTCGGGCCTAAGAGTTATTCCTCAGACCAAGATTAAAAGGGTGAGATTCGAATGCTATAATAAAAAAAGGTTAAATTCTGCAATTTGTTCAGGTTACTATCCCAAATTAGGAACATTGTCATTGGCTGACTTTATTTACATATCTAAATGTGTAGTCCTATAGCAAATTTGGAGTTGATTGTAGAACTTTGAGCCTCTATTCAATTTATACAAAATTTTCTAGAGTTGATGTGATTTAGAGCTTCACATATTGTATAGAATGTTTGCCTTTTTTTCTGTCGATGGGTTGGAGTCTCATTGATGTATACACTTAATTTTATTAAATAATGAGTGGTGAATATATTACCTGTACAAGTACATATGGGTTCCCTATAATAATGAGTAGTGATTGGGCTCTGGTGATGGCCACATTAAATCTCTTAGGATTACTTAGGAAACCTAGTGTATGTTTCTTGTCAAATCCTATCATCTGCTCATTGGAACGAACCTGTAAAAATAATAGATAACTGTATACATGTATTACTGAAATACGACATTTTTAATGTCACACATGCTAAACAACACATTTATAAATAACTTTAGAGCAACTACTTTTCTGATTTGGATATATTGTCAAATATGCCTTATGGACGAATGTATAATACTGTGGATTCATTATTATTCATGGGGTACCAATTTTTGTTGATTTTGTGAGCATAGGTATTATACCACAAATTTTGTGTATAATGTTCAATAAAGTATAAATTTTTTATAGGCTTTTAAGCAGATTTAGGCAAAACCACGAAATCAAATATACACCAAAAATGCAATTTTTCCCTCATCCACCAAAACTGGTAACCTAAAAAATAAATGAATCTACAATTCTGTAAATTCAGAAAACATTTCAAAATTACAGAAAATTGGCCATACAAGTCCATGACTCATATGGGCAATAATGTCTTAAATTTATTAAGTTTTTTTCTGCATTTTTTTAGCAAGATATTCTGATTAAAGACCCTTTTTAAATCTTTCTTTATCTACATATTGTAGACAGGGTGATTTATTCTCACTAACAAATGAAGGTACAAAACTTACAGTAGATATAATGATAACTTGTCTTTCTTGTCCCTGGAATTCCTCAACAGACCCAATCTTAATGGATGCTATACCAAGTTTATCTATCAACAGTCGAATCTTCTCTACCTGTGTAACAACGAATCGAGACTGTGAATTTGGACAAAATTTGGACAGTTATATTTTAAATAATAGTTTACAGATCATGCAGATATTATTTCTCCACTGGTTCCACTTCGTATGTTTCAGCTGTGTAGTAATATTATCATAGCCTCTGTTTTTTAACAGATGCTGAGTTTTAGTTTGGTTCACACTGCTTTGTTGGTTTTTAAACTTTATTATCACAATTAAATTTTCGCAACTTTTTGATATACACAATTTAAAATTATGCAGTACAACCACTGGCCAGGAATATTAGAACAAGTGAAACAAAAATGATGCAATCAAAGTTAAAAAGTCAGGTTTTTTAATTGATGCAATACTAATCATTAATAGGTTTTTTCAATTATAAATTCATCTAAAAAATCTGAGTTTACATTTCTCTTTTGTTTGTTTGGATTGAGCAACCCTTTTACACACCCATGCAAATCATTTACAGCTTTAATTAAAAGGGAAAGTACTATCAAACTTCACATCAAATGAACCAAGACACCGTATTATATTATAGTAGTGTAGTAATTTATACTGATTGATATCAGGACCACATTTATGATGAGGTCTCAGCTATAATCTTTTTATCTTAAGTACTAGTCATAGTTCATATACCCATATAAAAAAGATAATTTTTGCACGTATTGTGTTAATCACCCCAACACCTTCATCCAAGGCCAGTATGTTTTTTATTATACTGAATGCCTTATGATTCAAGTGTGCACTATGTTAGTAGAAGGACAATTGTAAAAATAAAGTCATAAATTAAGATAGTTTACTAATAACAACAAAACGACGGAAATGATGTAGAAATAAGAATCCGTAAACCTCGGCCAGAGCGGGTGTTTATTGTTCCAGAATTAACCCCTGTTGCTAATTTTATCACATGTTGCTATGGGTGGGCGGGGCTTATGAAAGGTTAGTGAAAATTAACAAATGCCGCGTGTCCAATGAAATGAATGGATAATATGAGAACTTTTCATAAAGTACAATAATTTATAATATATATATATTTATTAATTATACTTTGATTTTCAAGCTTTGGTAATCTTATAACATATATTAGATATTACTTATGACTTATCAAAATGCTAAGGACAGACCTAATATATATTATTTCCCAGGGAAAGTTTTAGAAAATTAGACTTAAAATAATCATTTACCTGTACCCTAAAACATAATTGTTTTCCTTATCTATATGAGGCGGGTATCATTCCCATTCTTGCCAATAAATTATTGTTCTGGTAACATAATAAAACAAGACCAGTCAGTAATGCTTTTAACATACAATAATATCACAAGAATAGTCTCACTTATTTCTTAATTTTACAGAGTTATGAATATAAATTTAATAATTAGCTCCATTATAATCAGTTTATGAAGTTTAAATACTTAAGATTTTGTTTAATCATGAAATTACCAAATGAAAATTTTCATTAAATTTCAACATTTTTAAAATCAGAGACAAGTAAAAATATATATTAAAGAAAAAAGTATCACTCTTCATGCAGCAATAATATATAGTTCACATGATTAATTTAATATCAATATAAAAAATATGTCATACCTTTTATGCTGATCATGTATTTCTATTTTTTACCTTGACTGATATAAATTGGAATAACCCATAATGTTATCATTATGCTTGTGTTAACCAAACTGGAGCAATTCATTCATACAAACAGGGGTCATTTAAATTCTTGCCTTAACCAACTTTGGAGCATCTACATTTTATATAACAGGGGTTACAACTCTAATCTAAAAATAATTTTTCACTGTCCTTTCTATTTTATGAATAAAGGAAATTTAATTTTTCAGATAAAATGAAATAATAACAAATTGAAAATATTATTTGAAATCTTTCATTGATATAAAGTGGAGCTTATAATGTTAAAATGCTAAGTTAAACCTTCAATTTGTTATAATGGTATATCTTCTTTGCGTTAACCAACATGATGACGTGCCAAAATTAGTTTATTTTAAGAAATCTGGAACCTTTTTGTCGGAAATAAAACGTTACAAATAACTGTGCTGTTCCTGACGTCATTAGATCCGACAATAATTTTGAGAAAGATGAATGGGAAATAACAAATCCATAGTTTGATTATGAAATAACGGTAAAAATGTGACGATTTCATTTTGGAATAAAGTAAATATGAAGAAAATTTTGGAATTATGTATTTAATGTGAAGGAATTCAGGAGATATTAAAACATCTTGTTACAAATGTAACAATGTAACTACTATGGATGTATCTTAATTCTACTTAGATAAACATGCTGTTTGTAGAAGAATTTAAAGTAAGTTAAACAATAAATAAGCTGAAAACAGCTGAGCAGAATATAGCAAAATAAAAAAGATTTGCTCAAAACAATTGAATTTATGATTTTGGACAAATTTCAATTTACAATTTAAACAAAACTTACAAATATTTGAGAGCATTTAACCAAAAGCGCTAATATGCAAAGCAGCCAATACCATTTAAGACCAACTTTGCCTGTGAGAGTTGCAAAATTAGTTTTCAATAGAGACAAAATTAATCATTCATATTTTACCAATGCTGAAATATTGGCTACTGCACAGATTGCATCACAGGAAGCAGTAACAAGCAAGTGCTTGTAAAAAATGTATAATACCTATTTCTGTGCAAACCTTGAACAACAGCAATGCTTGAGAGCATAAAATAAAAAGGACCTGAATATAGCAGCACTAAAAACATGGGTCATCTTTGAATGAAAGAGTAGTAAATATAAAAATAATAAGATATGGTATGATTGCCAATGAGACAACTCTCCACAAGAGACCAAATGACACAGAAATTAACAACTATAGGTCACGTACAGCCTTCAACAATGAGTAAAACCCATACCTTCTTTAAAAATACCATCAGAAATTCATAGACATAGATAAAATGTGTTATTAAAATTATGCTGTTGCCATGTTGCCAAGCATCAGTTTTCTACATCATATTTTTATCTAAGTTCACAATAATTTGGCTATCAAAGATAGATCTATAGAAACAAAGATGTGGTAATTTTTCAATTTATTGAGGGATACCTCACATTTGTTGATTTCCAAAATTTTAAGGGAAAAACTCTAGAACAATATATACAAGACACTTAACCTGTGTTTCATTGACAAAAATTACATTTCCAAATTTCAATTGATTATTTCATGGCTTAGCTTTTGTTATAAAACACAAAAACAATTTCTGAGCATGATTAAAGACAGATTCTAGTATAAATATACAGCATCAAAACTAAAATTCTACTCTGAAACCTTTCTACCAGGGCAAAACAATTTTTTCAAATTATCTCAGTTTTTTTGGTAACTATCAAACAAAACCAAGACAACATATAAAATTGCAAAAAAATATAAGTGAAAAAGGGGAAGATATTAGTGTTAACTAAACCAGGTCAATGTATTAATAAATTATTAAATACAAGTGGAAGTGATCCAAATTCTTGTCTTAACCAACTTATAGGTTATTTCCATTAAATCAGAAGGGGGAGTAACTTCTTAAATTGCAGAAATTTTATGTGTTATACTTATTTACATTTATTTTTGCTTTAAAACAATCATAAAAAAGTACATCAAATGAAAAAAAGTTATAAAGATAAAGACATTTAAATATTGTGGACATTCATTTCTCACTTTGTACTTTGGAACTTAATTTAAAATCTTCTGAGCACCCCTATCAACTTGAAAATGGTTTCTTCTCCTTGCGTTAACCAACATGATGACGCATTAAAATACCGGTAATCTATATTTGGTTGGTAATATGGAACTTTTCTGTCCTAATACAGCTGGTATATATAATATTGTTGATTGTGACGTCATTAGAATGGAACAACATTTTAAAGGGAGAAAGATGGATTTAAGTATTGGATTTTTTTTACAATTCTTCATGGATTGTCTGCTGATGCAAAATAATGAAGTAAGTCTAAATACAAAATTCATAACTATGCATAGTATTTTGAAAGTATCTACTCAGATAAACCCACAGTTTTAGCAGAATTCAAAGTAAATAATTACAATAGCTATTATAAACATAATGCCATTGGATGAAGTTGTTAGGGTAGATTAACACATGAGGGAAAAAATTATCACCCAAGACAAAGTCGAGGTAGATAATTTTTTCACTGAGGGTGTTAATCACCCTAACACATTCATCCAAGGGATTATGTTTTTTATTATACTGAATGCCTCATGATTCAAGTGTGCACTATGTTAGTAGAAGGACAATTGTAAAAAAATAAAAGTCATAAATTAAGATAGTTAAGATACTAATAACTGTAATGACTTTAATTGCGCGTAACGTAACATTATACTTTAGTGTTCTGTATGTAACGTCAAATCCTTGGTTACTTTGTTATGCTTTCTTATATACTAAGATTCTAATATACGTTCCACTGTCATTTTTTGTTGTCAAAGTTATTTCAATAACAACAATAAAACGACGGAAATGATGTAGAAATAAGAATCGGTAAACCTTGGCCGTAGCGGGTGTTAATAATTTTCAATCGGCAAACCTTGGGCTCAGGCAGGTGTTTATTTTAGGCATTAAGGTGTAATACCACCAAATCATAGAACGTCACATCCGGTTGCATACGAAAATAGGTTGAAAAAAAATATTCCCTTGAATTTGACAGTTGTAGGTAATTAATCCTACATTTCATTGCAGTAAAACATTTCTGGGTCATAACCATATATCTTGGGTATTTAAAAGCACCAATATTTTTTTATTTGGGGTTTCTATAGAATATTTTTGGAAACTTGAGGTTACATGGGTACTAAAGCTTGTACACAGGTTAATATAAACTGCTTCGCTGAGTGCAGCTGGATACACCCGCAGAGGTCCAACCATGAACAGTTGGGGCAAAAATGGACACAATATTCAAGCTTGATACAGGTCTGAATTTGGATTGTAATTAAATATTTGACATATTATAGGTTTCTGAATAAATGTAGTCAAAGAAC